ACACAGAAGGATCAGGGTCACTGATGGAAACTAATGTTCTGACCTTGACAAACTTTTCTGTCGGGGCGAAGCAGCCGACGCAAAGAGAGACGAGGATCCAGCCACGAGCGTGAGAACTCTTAGACGGGTTCTGACTGAGCTGCTTACAGATCTGACAATAGATCTCATCCCTGACACACACACACACACACACACAGTTATATTTTATGTATTGACAGATACAGGTAGTGTGTGTGTGTGTCAGTGTTTACCTCAGCGCTGGTCTCAGGATCCCGTTCCCGATGATGAAGTGAAGTTTCTCCAGGTTCGACGTCGGCCGGTCCTCCAGCATGCTGTTACCATGGACACCGTACTCCCCATCATTGAGGCGCTTGGTGACCTGTGAGGCATCGAACAGTAACATTTCTAAATCTCCGACAAACACATTCCATAATGGTCGCTCTTCTCTTTCTCCATCTCTCACCTCCTCAGTGATCTTGGATTTCTTCTTCAGCGTGAGCGACACCAGCTTGTGTCGGACGCTGTTCTTCTTGTGGCTGTCGGACTGAGGCGTCTGAAAGACCAAACAAGAGACGGCTCATGGACCAATCAGAGATGATCCTGCACAGATGATACGCTGATGAAAGAGACTTATGTGTTCCAGACTCAAACTCGATGAATCGTGTCCTCTTGCTCACCTCCCCCTCCCCCTGCAGCGCCTGCAGCTCCCTCTTGTACGTCTTCTTTCCCAGCGTCTCGTAGATCTTGGTCATGACCGGGATCTTCTCGCTTCCGTCGCTGATGGCCGTGTGGTACTTGGGCTCCGGCAGATCTCCCATGAACCTCAGCACTGTGATCCACACCGCCAGAGCAGCCTGAGCCGGGACATGGAGGATTCATGGAGTTTGTCAGAGGAAATAATCAATATTCAAATCACTGTTTGAACAAAGACTGTGCATCGGTTCTAGAGTGTTTGACAGTTTTTCATTTCCACAGACGGGAAGTTCCTGATTGAGCTCTATTATCTTATTTGTAGTTTTTTCCTGTACTGTACCAGCTGGTCTCCCTCGTCGTCGTGGAAGAGCAGCGGCTGTTTGAGAGGTCGTCGGACGTAGGTGTGTGTGGTGGTGCCCTGGAAGTAGGTGGCGGCATACTTGGCGAACTTGTACTCCGACAAATCTTCCTCATCATCATCCTCAGGCAGAGGAAGAGCTTCGTCCAGATCCTCCACCTCCAGCTCTTGATGGCTTCGCTCCAGGTCCTGAGGAGGAGACAGAGTTTCAGTCACAGACGACACTTCAGTATTTTTAAGTTAAATTCTTACAATATGTTTTTATAACTAAAGATTTTTCAGTGAAGTTACAGCTACATTAATTTCTCTTCACCTCAAAGCCGGCAGGAGCTTGTCCCTCCTGCCCAGGGAATGAGTTTGTTGTCCCCAGGAAGCCGAACATCTTGTCCACCATGTCTGAGTCGTTGACGGGCTCCAAACGAGCTTTCTCCATCTGCTCCACCATCTCCTTCTTCCTCCGAGCCTCCTCCTTCTCCTTCTTCTCCCGTTCGGCATCCTCTTTGGCCAGCTGGGCCAGACGCTCCTACAAAATAAAGTGCAACATTCCTTTAGGTATAAAGTGGATTTCCCTGCAGGACAAAGAATCATTATCTCAAATGCGTCCATAAGAAAAAGCAGACATGATGTGTAGTCACAGACGTAAACCGGGATTATAAAATGTCTGTAAATGTCAGAGTTCCTCGTTGAACTCTCACCTGGTGTTTGCGTTCCGCCTCAGCCTTCGCTTTCTTCGCAGACATCTGGTTCCTCAGTTTGGTTTCTTCAGCCAGACGCATCTTCTCAGCCTCCAGCCTCCTGCGGTACTGAAGGAGATGATCATAAATGTGAAACATAAAATTTAAAATATTCATATAACAAAAAACAAGGAAGGATTGTCCCTCTGTGTCTCTACCTCTCCCTTCAGCCTCTTGTAGAGCCGGCGGGCGATCATGCCTCTGGTGTAGGCCTGGATGGTGATGACGGCCCACAGCCTGTGCCTGAACGCCCGGCGCACTAAGTAGCCCCGGCAGCGGCCCTGGAAGCCCGTGATCCGCTGACGGGCCACGTGATAGGACGCACACAGCTTCCTGGAACGAACCAGAGCCTGCAGGCGGGAGAAGCCGGCTCGCATCTGAAGAGAGAAGAGAGGGAAGCGAGACTGTGACTGAACGACTTCACCCGTGTGCTGCATCACGGATCACCATCGTCCTGACATAGTAAAGACCTGAAGACACTTTTCTAGAATCAAACACGTTCGTGTGATGAGTGGTAAACACAGAGTGGATCCTCACAGCTCCATAGTTCTTCCTGCAGTGATATCCTCTCCACGTTTTCTGGATCAACACAGCCGACTTCCTCATCTTCAGGAAGTTCGACCTGACGACATGAGATTGATCTCATCAGTGGATACAGAGAGACACGTGGACATATTCAAAGACTGGACTTCAGACCCACCTGTCCTTGAAACCTCGGACCACCTTCTGGATGAGGATGACCTTGTCAGTGATGGCCTTGTCTCTCTCGATCTCCAGCAGCATGTCGTGATGATCCTACGCAGAGAGAGAGAACTGATGAATAACACGTGCAAACACTAAATACTGTTTCTGCTGCGTCATTAGTTTGGTTCAAATACCCCCCCAAGACTCACCCCCTCTATTTTTTAACTTATCAGTTATTTATTGACATGAACTATAACAGAAGCTGTTATTTGATTTCCTGCTGCTCGCATTAATCCATGTCTGTTGATCCGTTGCCTCTGACAAACGTTTAAACATTTTGACTGTGAATTTTGAAAATGTCCTTCTCCGGATAAATTGAGTTGAATTAAACTTAAACTTCAGCATTTTCCCCGACAGGCTTTAATCTGGCAGCTTGTTAATGTGACATATATGTGAACACAAACATCTGAAGCTCCGTGTCCTCCTGTTGTGATCTGTCCATCTGACCTCTGACCTGACCACATCCTGTCGGGGAAGTGTGGGCACTGCCCCACCTTCACCCCGCTGCACTCTCTCTGCTGTGCTGCTTCCTGTCCAGCTGAGCCATGAGGCCTGAGAGAGACGAGCCTTAAAAACCCGAAAACTTTATATGCACGGAGACAGATCCGCAGCTGCAGTAAGATGTTATCGAGTGTTTGTTATCTGGAGGATAAAATAAAAACGAGTTTCAGTCAGTCGAGCCCCTTAAAGTCAACCACTCAGAGGTTTTTCATCAAAGTCAATGAACTGTTGTCTGGAAAAACAAGAAAAATGTTTTTATCTGAAATAAAAAATATATAAAAATCCTTCATTAATGAAATGGGTTCCTCCTGACACGTCCTTCACACCAAACCAACCAACAAACACACGGGGGTGAAAACACAACCTCCTCCGTGGTGCTAAATACTCTCTGTAAATAAATACAAAATAAAAACTTCAAGAACATGAAAACTGAGTTAAATGTCAAACATTGTCGTCCACAAAATCTGAAACTCCTCACGTCTGCTGGTCACTTGTTGATTGACGATCACAATATGAACAACGAGCTGCGAACACACAACGTTTCACCAGAGAGGAGCGGTTCACTCTGTCACCGAGGAACAAAGTGCTGAGCTCTGGTTCTCAGGACACGGTCACCATGGCAACCAGCTAACGGATGTGCCTTACCACTGACCTCAGGGGGACATCTGCCCTCACATGGCGGGAAGCCGACACACACACACACACACACACACACACAC